TATGTATTTTATAAAAGGTACCTAATTCCCCTTGTTTCCCACTAAGAATTAACGGTTTTTCAATGTGGTATATATCGGGGTTGTGGAATCGGTGTTGTATATATCTTAGAAGTATGCCGTTGTGTTTACATTAAGGGTATTCAAACAATATTTTTCACCACCTGGTTCATGTATATTATACTTATTAAATATTGTTTAGACACTGGACGTAAACATCAATTAAACACTTTTAAACCCGAATAAAATTTACTCATGTATGTCAAATTCGATTATTTAATAATATACAGTAGGATGTAAATATTATACATTTATATACAAATCAAATCCGGTTTTGTGTATACACAAGTATTATCATTATGTATAAACTAGCTGAGGTACGTAACAATTTCATGCATATTATATTATTTTATATTTTATAAATTGTATTATATTATAATATTATAACTTTAATTATTTAATTAAATATGGTCATACAGAGCACTTGCATTTTTAGATTTGTACAATATTACTGAAACTCACATCTTAACTCACATTGTATATTTTAAAATCAATAATATTTATTAATATTATACTGAATAGGTACTTATTTTTTTATAGGTTGTAGATAGTTTACAGCACATTTAATTTTACTAAAATATCAGTTATCATAGTAAATGTTTGTTTAAGTTATATAAAATACTGAGGACCCGAGAACAAAGAATAAACACCTTTTATTTATTTTCAGATAGTTAAAATCTGATTTAGCGAAAGTAGAAAGCAAAGGCATATAATAGGAACAAAAATATATGATACCTAAATATAATTAATATTGTATACTAATATATTATAGCATGCTAGCTCCTCATACATGTTCCTTATAAAGTAACAAGTTCCCGAATAATTTGTTCGTCGGAAATGTACCGTGTTTAACGCACGTTGGATGGCCGACAATATTTACCTATACACACTACTGCAACTGTATAGTATTATAAGCATACATAATTATTTTCATGCCCTAAAAATCTGGTTCAAAGACATAGAAAAATCGTTTTAATATCGGCATAACCTAATATTATATATATATAATAGTATTATTATGTAGGTATGCTCCAGTTAATTCTTGTGATGTGAACCATGTTTAATATGAGTGTATCAAATATCATATATATATATATATATATATATATATATTAATATAGATACAAACCTATTATACATATATTATATCGTAAATGTGTAAACATAATAATATTATTTTATATTATATACACATATGCGATAGTATATAACTATTGCTATAACGCTAACGGTAACGTTGTCAAAAGGAGAATTTCGATGTCACTAGGAAACGTGTTGCATTTCGTCAACTCATTTATTTCAATAAAATAAAGCTATAACAACTATAATATAACACACACACACATATATATATAAGCATTTATAATATAATATGCAATTTAATGAATTACTGTACATGGTTATAACTTATATGTATAGGGTGGGATTGTTTTCTTTTAACTGTATAATTATTGTATAGGTACACTATACATCAATCCGCTGAAATCAAATTATTTAGTTTGCTATTTTGCTAATATTATTGTTATTTATAACTTTAAATGTAATATACTATCATAATTCTTATCTCCATAATATGTATAATATAATAAATTAATATCACATCGTTTATTATGTAGTTAAATATGATAACTTATATGCTTAAGTTATCTTCAATAAAATATTTAATTTATATATATACCGATAATATTGAGTTTTTAGTTAAAATAGAATATATATTATAATTTCGGCTTTACACTTATATATATTACAGTTGTTTTTATATATTTTTACTCGATAAACATCCTTTTATATTTTTCTTTTTAATCTTATTTAAATTTTTAAAAAACTATACATTTATAAGAAATATAGTTCACCGTTTATTTTTACTTTTTTTTCAAAAGGTTTAGGTAAGCTTATATTTTTACTTAATCCAATTTTCAACCATTTAAATATTAGGTATTTTTTTTGAAGTTGGGTGCATATCATATTGAAAAATAACTCAGAACTATTGTAGGTACATTGAACAAAACCAAAAATATTATTTCGTGGAACTATATTAGTTATGATTATTTTGGTAGAAAGTAAATATAAAGAACTATAAAATATGATTAATAAAAAATAATACAAATAAATCAACCTTGATAGATTTAATACTAGAATAACTTTTTTATATTACTATAACGGTAAAAACAAAACAATCTATTATATAAGACAATTTAAAATATAAAATCGTATTAGGTAGATATTTACTTATATAAATACAACTAAATGTTATAAAACACGGCGTACTTAGGCAAGCTCTAAACTTTTTAAAGATCATTTTAATAAAAATTTCTAATCAACAATGGTGGGTTCATTGGTATTATAAATATAATACATATACATAAATACCTACTGAGTACATTTTTATAATAATTTTCTGAATGCTAAGTAATTACTTTGAATACTACACGGTATATAATAATATATGCCTAGCTCCTAGGGAAAAATCAGTAAATGCCAAATTTTCAAAATTAATAGGTAAATTATTTCATGTTCGGTATCATTGCATAATTCTGCCTTTTTTTCTAACTCCACTAGAAATGCTTATATAATGTATTATAAAATATCGTATCGATCAAAATGTTATCAAATATTAGGAAAAATACAGTATGTATTATGTTTTGGAAAATAAAGCAGTATTCACAACGGAGTCTCTTTATATTTTATTATTAAAATAATTTCTCAATAATGTTATACAGTATAATTATCTAGTAATCATACCTAAGATGGAATTGCAGTATGTACTCTTTATCTTTTGGCTTTTATCTATAAATGGTCATGGTATTAGTCAAACACCAAATATACCAAAAATGTTCGTCAAAAATATTTATTGAGATTTATCAAATATCTTAGTATTAATTTATTATATGTTAATCATTTTACTAATAATTTTATTATTATCAATAAATATACATTTTTTAAATGTACCTATTTTTTTATAACTATTAAGTTGCATTTTTGTAATAGAAATTCAATCAAAATACAATAATTCTTATAAATTCAAAATGATTTTTAATAATAATTTATAATATAAATGTTGTATATGTTTTTTAGTTAAAATATTTTAATTTACTAAAATACCAAATAAAATGTAGATTATTTTATTTTATTTTTTAACATGATATTTCAATAAATGCATTTTACTTTAAACTAGATAATAGGTTTAATTTTAATTTTCGGTCGGTCAATTAAAAATAATAATATACGAATACAATATTGTATAATTGCCATTTACATTAAATTAAAATTCACATAAATATGTATAGTGATAACAAATATCTTCATGGAGACACTGCATTTTGTAGAGTTTATTTGTATTTTAATACTCATTAATAATAGATAAAAAAACAGTATATTTTTAAAAATAAAAAAAAATTAAAAATAATGAACTAAGAACAAAAAAAAAAACTTTCAAAAAATTAAGAATGTTCATAACTAATAATAAACGAAAATAAGTGGATAAAAATAATGATTTCACAATGAAAAACAAAGAAATCGAAAAACTAATTTTACCGACAATTTAATTATTGGATATACTGTTTTTTTTTCACTATAAAGAAAGTATAAATGTACAGAAATATAATATGATTTGCACAAATGATAATCATAACGACACTTGTGTAGTTGTGTGTAAAATCAAAATGACGAATTTATAATTTAACATTTTAACAAATTGTTTGTTTAATTTAAAAAAGTACACATTTTCAATGATCTATATAGTATATTTTAATTAATATTTTTTTGTTGATCTATAATACAGACTACAGTTAACCTTTCGAGCTTAAATAATTGATGTGTTTGTCTTTCGAATTTTAACATATTGTTTCATGTAAATTTATATCATATCTCACCAAAATAACTAGCATTTAGTTGTAATAATCAATGCAAGTATATTAAAATATTTATTCGGTTTTTAAAATGTATAGATTCCATCATCTCATACCATTAGAAGAAAAGTCACAGTATAAATAAACAAATATATTATCATTACATTAAACCGACTGAGCGGTAACTGATGCTGTACTGTTAAGAATCGTCGGGGATAGAGCTACCTATAATACAGCAGTACTAATTCGTCGTCGCCTGCGAGTGCCGAGTCCCACAGGATACTCTGGAGTACTCGTATCGTCTCGGGAAACAGGAATCACGGTGCAGCAGCCAGAAGTCGTAGGTATATCATATAATAATATCATAGTGTATAGGTACAGATGTACAGTCGGACGCATCAAATCCGGATACAACAATGTGTGGTCATATAAAATTAATATATTATTTTACGAACGGGAAATAATAATGTAACGCGTGTATCGGCCGTCGTGCGCGTGTACACATCGCATAATATTATAATAATATTACCTATGTATTTGCAGACAGCGATAACGCGGCGGCGCACACGAGGACCACCGCCGCAAACGCGCGGTGCTCGGCTTCAGCAGGGACGCGACGTCGCCCTCTCCCCTCTCGACCGTTCGCTTCTTCGCCCTCCGCAACGACGCCGATGCCGCGTTCGTCCGCGCCACCACCGGCGGCACCCGACACCGCGCAAACCAACAACCACCACCACCACCGCCGCCGCCGATCGCTGGCCGAAGGGAGGTGCGAGCGCTAGTAGGCGGGAGGACGGGGACGGGGCATCCGACTGCCGGCGACGACAACGACGCCGCGAAAATAGGAGGACGCTCCGCCCACCGGGCCGGTTCGCGGTGGACGGACGGGGCAGGGGATCAGCGGCGGGGTGGAGTCTGCGTAGGGCGCGCGATCGCTGCCGCCGCCGGAGTCGCGACTCGCGAGTTTGCCGCCGACGCCACCGCGGACGAGACGGACGCAGTCGTGGACGAACTCCGAGCGCGCGCGCGTTCACCACGCTCCGTATTACACGAACGGTACACACATCGCGCACGCACGGCCCGGCGGACAAAAACGCGAACGCCGTAACACGCGCGCCGCCGAGACCGCGACGTGCCCGTACACAAATACAACCACGCACACTAACGCGCGCGCGCCCGGTCTTCGCCGACGCGTGTATCCGCGGTTGATCGCCTCCGATCTATCGGCGCCACCCGACCCGCGAGGAGGATCTCCGCGATCGCCGCACACGCGTGTGATATATTATCACACGCACACCAGCCATCGTCTCGCGTCGTGTAAACGCCGCGCGAAACGTTTTCGATAATTCGTCGCCGTCGCGTGTTTCCGGGGGCTCGGTTTTTTTTTTTTTTTTTCTGGTTTTCCGAAACCGAACGGTCACAAGTATAATATAATATAGTAGGTACGCAGTGATATAGTTCCGTCGGCTTTTTTTCCACCCCTTTGATTTTGCCGGACACGGAGACCGTCGGACTTTTCCGATCCAACGCACGCGGAAAACGAAAATCACAAGAACTACTGCAGTGCGATATGTCATAATATTACTATTTGTATTATGATCGGTTCGACAGCGACGGTACGACGGGATTATTCGTAACCGCGCACGGCAACAACGGCTGCACCGTCGTATGCGCTGAGGCACAGAGGCTCCCGGCCAACCCGACAGACCTTAATCGGTAAGTGGTGATCTCACGTTTTTAAACACACCGCAGTCACGTATTATTATTAATATTACTATCATTATTATTATTATTATTATTAAGTATAGGTAAGCTCGTAAATAATAATAAAATATAAGTACTTAGCTATTGACGGTACACAAATACGTATTATATGCGTATACGTATACGTATACATATACGCGAGTATTTTTTCAAAATTCATAACATCGCGGTCGAGGACATACAATACGGGAAACTTCGAAAATATACTCATATGACTTATTTGGGTTATTTACTATTTAAAATTAATGATATTTAACACTGCACATGATTCCAACCATAAATTTAATTCACATTTTTAAAAGTATTCAAAAATTGTTATTTTTTATACACAGTAATGTACTCAAATAGTATTTTACATTAATAATTTACTTATACGTGGATAAGTTATTTTAACCGTTCGTTTATCATTAGACGCGTCTCTAATAATAATCAACAAACCGATTATACACAACGATGATTTTCCACTCAGCTTTATCGCTGATTTTACATATTAATTTAACAAAATATAATAAAACACGATTTAATTTTACCGTTCTGTAATTAAATAAAAATCAAAATAAATAAATAGATAAACAACTCTTATAGTTATAAATTATCGGTAAAAATATTTGTAATTTTCTGTAAATCATTTTTATATTAAATTATAATTAGACAGTAAAAAACAACAATACCTAAATACAAAAGAAATTATTATTTATTAACTAATAAAAATTAAAAAGAAAATATATAAAATATTTATGATATGTTAATGCATTATTGTTAATATTGTATTATGTATAACGCATTGTTACAATATTATATAACCTTTATATTTTCCGCGTAGATTAATGATGTAGAACATTTTATATTAAAACTATTTCTAATACGTTTCTGTAATGTAATTACTCATCAAATAAATAAAAATGAAAATAATGAAAACAGTAAAAGCACATCTGTATAATAATTAATAACTTTCAAGAAGATAATAGTATAATACTCACCTACATTAACCTTAACATCATATTTTAAAAACAGTGGTTTTTTATGTTCCTATTATACATTTAATAGTATTGGCAATATTCGCTTATTTGTGTAGTTTGTTTTTCAAAATATTTCTTATCGCAAATTACACCAAATATTAATTACTACATAATAAAAACTAATGATATTAATATAACATTATCACTCCATTATAATTAGAAGTCGGCATATAAATGATTATCTTGATCAGTCTAGACATAATGTCTGCAACCTTAAACCAACTACATATCACTCTATCAGTTACCTACTGGCTACTTTAATATTATATAATACCTATCTAATAAGTTATAATATGCAATTTAAAAATTAAGTCTAATTGCCATCTAATATTAATGTTGTTATCAATATGTAATATTTTTGAGGAATGTTTATACAACTTTCTGTTTCTAACTTTTATCGTTTATCGCAAATTGTACGAAATCTTCTATAAGCGCAAATGTACAACGCGTTAATATTATATTTTAAATTCCTATGCAAGTATGACTACAGTCATTACTTATTTATAAAAATGTGGATATAGGTGTATTTCTGATTAAAAATTTTAATTTAGCAATCAATTGAATTTTTTTATATTACGTTATAATACGATAACTACTATGAAGTACCTAATTTAAAATATTTATTATTTAACTAATTTGCAATTTTTATAGACCAAACTATGCGGGAATAGACTATTTTTATTAATATTTGGTATTCCAATTCCTGATGAGTTAAGTTCAATAACATTTTTCGATTGAAGTGTATCGTATGGATAAATCTAATAGTTTCTTTAGGCACATTAAGTAACTGGTTATAGCTTTAAAGAATATCAATATTGTCTATATAGTTAAATTATAACTGGTATTATATTATATTATATGGATTGATTATTAATGATGATTTTAAATCTATAAACTGAATAAAATATAATAGTCCCAATATCTATAGTTTTATTTTATTTAATACCAAAATAATGTTAATTAAATATCTATGAATAATAGTTTTTACATTGATGATGAGGCTGCACTTGATAATTAAATAATTAGATATAACTTAACTAATCATTAATATAGTATGAAATCATTTAATCAAATTTGTATAGTTATTTTGAATTCATTAACTTAACTTCCTAGTTTCTTTAGCTCAAATTTTAAAGAAAAGAAAAAGAAAAATTAAATTTCTCTATATATTTTATTCAATGTATTAATATTTTTATTTCGATTAAAGTTGGTGTTTTAGTGTAAATTAATTCGTGAAACTGAGGTTGATAATTAATCAAAACATGGTTAAATTGTAAATTTGTATTTTCATTCGTACACTCAATACTTATAAGTTATATTTATAATTATTTTAAAAGTTATATCGACAAATATATCTTCTATTTATTTATATATATATGTTTATAAATTAATATACGTTAGGATAAGATATATTAACTTGGAAACTATTAATTAATTGTAATCAAATGTTGCATATCTATATAAATTCCTTATAATTAGGAGAGTGTATTTTTAGTGTCGTTTTTAAATCCCCATAGATTACTATATGATGTCTTTCACATGAATTTTGTTTAGGCTCACAAAAATTGATTTTTTGTGTATATATTTAGGATTGGCATTGCTTAAATAAATAAAATTCAAACAAAATTATTTGTTTAACTGTAGCGTATGAAAAAACTATTCTACCGATTTGATTTAGACAAAAATTTAAGATCATTCTCAGAAATATCAGAAAAATTTTGAGATTAGATTGAAAATATATCAAGAATTATATCCAATGTGCTATAGGTGAGATTTCCCATCTCGGTCAAATTAGTTCACAAAGCGATCACTGTCTTCAATTTGCTCGAAAACTATTGAAGGCTTCTATTAAAACCAAAATACACTAATAAAGCGTTAGGTACATTTTAAATTTGTTCATATTTTTATTTTTTCCCAGGTGCGAAGTTGGGTTATACATTTTATAATATTGAACTAAAATTAAATGTTCAAATTATTTTTACTGTGTATTTTTAATTACATTTGATTAATTAACTAAAATTTAGACACTTATTAAGTTTCCGAATAAGGGTATTTACTTATATAAAACTAAATTAGAATTGTTTGTGACTTTTAAAATTAGTTGTCAAACTTAACATTTTAATGGATTTTCACACATATTGAATTTTATGTTATTTTTTAGTTTATATAGCAAAAAAAATATTAATAATTATTGTAGCACTTAATTGAAATTTTATAATTATTTAACTGTAATTATTTCGAAATATAATAATTAACGACTATATAAACTATACAAATACGTTTCCGTGGAAAAAAGCGTAGTTATCGCGTGTTTATTTTTTAATGGTTATCGACAAATATAAATAATATACGTGACAGGATATTTTTTCATTTGTAAAACTTCAAAAGGGATGTTATCTTAAATAAAAAATAAAAACATTTATATAATATAAATGTAAACTTCATTCATTTTATTTACCACGATCTGTTGTTTCATGGACTATATATAGTATCATATATGGCCCGAGCCAATAAACTATCTTGTATATATAAACATCGCGTACGCAGTATGTTTGAACAGGGGATATAATTGCTCCCGGGTTTCGTGCGAAAATGGGGAAGAACGGTGTACGGGGAGCCTATTAAAACCTAATCACGTATAGACACATACACACATACATCGATAGATGGTTCTGTTGTTGTCATTTGATTCCGTGTTGTATAATACCTAACAATTATTATATATATATAAACTGCTGTCAACGGTCTTTTTTTTCATTTTGGGTTGCTCCTCCCCGTGGTTCGCGCCCCCTCATTGGACTTACGTATATAGATACATTTAACCGAATTATGTGGTGTGCTCAGTATAAATATTAGCTGGGCATGTTTTCTATTCTTACGATACACACACACACACACATACACACACCGCAGGGGGGGAAAAATATATAATATTACGACGACGACGACGGCAGCGGTGGTAGTGGCGGCGATGATATTATTATTATAAAAGAACCGTTTTTTTTTTCCACTAGCGGTTTTCTGAATTAGAAAACCATCCGACACACCATCTGCCTCCATGCTCTGGTACTGCTGCTGCAGGGTTCCATTGTCGTGGGCCCTACTGCAATGGTAGGTAAATACTGCGGGGACCGTCATGGCCACGCTATATATTTATATATACGTGCGGACAATAGTAATAATGAAAAAAAAAGTACACATAAGAAGATGAACAATAAAAAAAGACCACGAGGGTATGTGTGTGCATAAACGCTATGTTAGCTCACGGTGCTTGACAAAAATCTGCCGTCGGCAGTGGACGGGGTACCGCGACAATACAAATCGAAGAGGGATGGGGCATTTAAGCTTGAGGGCGGAGCCACGATAAATGTATTATTATAGTTTATAATAAAATAATTGTATCATGTGCGAATCAATGTTAATTATTAAATTATTAAATTTATCCTTGGTATAGGTATATTACATTCGACATTTGTACTCGCGTATTTTATTATCATTATTATTACCACTGTTTACTATATTAGATACCTATATTTACTAAGACCTCTATTTTCCTAAAAAAATGTAATATTTTAATTGCAAAGTACACTGTGATACATAAAATTATACAAAACATAACCAATATATATACATAGACAAAACTTTAGTGTGAAGAAAAATATTTAAAAATAAATCGAAAATTATAATTCAAAAGTTCTATACCACTGCACATAAAACCGTGTTACGTTTGTAATATATATAAGTATAATAACTTAATATATTCTGAATGATGGTAAGAAAATCGTGATAATAATTGTTATGGCGGTTTCCCGACAACCCATAAAGCACATACAGGATGATTCACTAAGCATGCTATCCACCATTGTTTTCTTTAGTAATGAATTTAATTCATATTTGAAATATAAATAAATACATACCATATTTTGAAGTACCAGATATTTCACTTTTTAATAAGTATTCAGTGACAATCCAAATGATTTTTTTTTTTAAATGGAAAGAACCTTTTTACTGCTAATTGTTAAGCAGATCATTTTTTTTTGAAAATGTTTATGTAGGTATCTAAATCAAAATTATATCTAAATTAAATATACGCCATTATTTAAAAAAAATACATCATTATTCACGGTAAAAAGGGTTGTTCTCATTTGAAAAAAAATTGATATTGTTAATATGCATACTTCTTAAAAGATAAAAATAATCTAAGAATTTAAAAATTTGATCTTTATAAGTAACCATTAAATTCAAAATATAAGAATTTGAATACATTTACTATTAAAGAGAAAATATTAAGCAGTGAGTATGCACAACGAATAAAACTCATACAATGCAATTCCGTTTATCAAAAAACACCGTTTCGTTGAAAAACTTATAGAAAATTATTTTCTTATCAACTACCATAATGATGTTTTGATGTAATATATCGAAATTCATTATCAACAATTAACTCACGTGCAAATTTTATTTTTTATTTTTGTTGAAGCTAAAACCAGAAAATGCCAGAAAAACATTTCACTCAACTGGAAGCTGCTCCAAAAGTAATATTTTCATAATATATAATAATATCTTAAAAATTAAACTATAAAGATTATTATTTATCAATTATTAATATATTATAATAGTATATACGGTTTTAATTATTTTTGTTTATTATTTCTTAGTTTTAATCATTAAAATATGACATTATTTATAAATGTTTGATGATGAAAAATAATGTACTAATGTTAATTTGTTGAGTAGTTTGTTAGTATATGTACTATGTACCTATAAATCAATGTTCACATTATTCAATTATATTAATTTCAACGATATGGTCTTAATAAAATACAACATTTTTAAATTAAAATTTTTAAGAAATACAATTAATTTAGCATATCAATATTTACTTATAGGTATACATATAATACAATTAATGAATGTATTAGTAAGAAAAATTTCCAATGTATTATTTATATATTATATATTTTGTTGGTAAAAGACGTGTACTTTACAGTAATTACTATGTTAATTTTCTAAAACTGATTCAAAAACAACTTTGATTCACCAACCGGATACACTTAATAACAAATGTAGGTATAATGTAAACCTACTATACATAAATCTATTATTTAATTTAATATGACAAACAATTGTATTCAAAACACTGACAATAATATATAGGTAGGTACATTATATTATGTTATACACCCTAAACTGGTAAATATAAAGGCTCTGACAGACTTTTAGAAGTCCATTCGTATGTGCTGCACCCTCGTCCCTCACTCTATCTACTGGCTCTCTTATACATACATCATATATATTATATTATATAAACATAATACTCAGCAGCCTGCAAATCGTTATTCACAGTGAAGTCGCGTGTCGGTCGTAATCAAAACACGATTCAAAACCGCGGTTGCGGGTAATTAGTGCGTAAATCGCGTACAAAAAAATAACACAGTTCAAAGGGATTATAACGCGCGTTTCCTTTGCGGCATATTTTCGTTTTTTTTTTTTTTTTGCGGGGGATAGTAAAAATGAAATGAAAAAATACCCCCTTAACGAATACATTATTGCGGCACAGTGCAATTATATTTTTTCATCGTTCCACCCACCGCCCAATCCGAAAAACCGACGTCGGCGGTAGTTCAAGTGTGTGTGTATATATATTATATATAGTATACATGGTATTATACAATAATATACGCGCGCATACGCAACGCAAATCCTGTCGTGTAAGTCGTTTTCTTTTGAAGTCGCTAATGAGAATTTGTCCTCCACCGTCACGCTCGCGTGCCTATATAATGTGTATAACCGTATTCGATTATATATAATATTATTATAATACGTGCGACGTTCTTATATAAACATATAGTTTATGGTGGGGATAGTGGTAAAATCTGTGACCGATCAAAAAAAAAAATAAAATAAAATATGGTTTTTATTTTTTGCTATAACGTTTGCAACGCGCATTTAAACGATCTCCGAGCGACGGTTTTGAACTAACAATAAAATACATGTATACAAATTTACCTATATACAAACTTGTGTATTATATTATACATAGAGGGCCAAGTCAAGTGCCCACTTGCTTTGCCGTCGCGTGTACGTGCACACATACGTTTTGACGCCGCTTTGTACATAATAGGTACATACAATATTATAGTAGTACTAACGGTACCTATAGGTTTTATATTATGATCATTATACATCGCGTTCAAAGATGAATTCGGTTGAGTTTCTGATTACAAGTATGGCAAAAAAAGTATACATTTTATGCGCATAGCTGCAATTTACTAAATTAATCGAGAAAATGAGTAATAACCTGCAACTTTTTTTTTTAAGTACGTATACCGTATTGTACGTTATATTATTATATTAGACGATTGGGATATTTTTAAATTCTTTAGGTAATAATGTAATAGCCATTATTATAATTTATATTATTTTGTTATTATGAAATATACAACTATAATATAATAGTAACAGGACGAATAAGGAAGTTATATTTTATCATTATCATTATTCTAGTGCTGTTAGACTGAGAATATAAGTGCTATTGGTTTTATTAAACAGAATATTTTCGTCTCTGGTTATCTTGGAACTCAAACGATTATACTCTTTTTGGCTTTTGTTCGCATTTTATGAACTGTATATTGTTCAAAGTAAACAAGTACTCCAAATGGCATACGTTTTAACAAAATACATCAACAACTATCTTAACTGACATCGACTACTACCTAGTAAAGGTATGGCTTTACCTGTAGATATATCAATACCTGTAAATTGTCATATGAACAAAATAATAATAATATTATTATCCATCCATAATCCGTATACAGAGAGTCGAAACGAAATTCTTTTCATATAATTTTTGTCATTTTAACCTTTTAATAGTTCAAATGCAGTTTATTTTTATTTATACTTTTTTTTTTGACACTTGCCAATATAAAATTTCAACGTAAATAAACCCGCTCGCACAATAGGCGATCGACCGCAGACGACAGCTTCATTGTATTTAGAGGGTTGAATAAAATAAACTCAAAGTATTATTATCCGTTTCTCCGAATCTCGTAGTATACATTATTATTGTTGATATCATATATATATATATATATACATGTATACCTTTATAATATGCTATCGAGGTGGCGCTAACTAGTTGTCTACCTTTCATCAATCGACGATTTCCCCCAATTCAACAATATTAAGCTAGCGTGGTCCCTGTAGACAGCTGTTGTGATTTATTCTACAAATTGAAATGGTCCGATGAACGCGCGTTTCGTTTAAAGTAGCTTTCCATTTCCGATAAATGACTTCCATAATATGCGTGTGGTCCCCTTCGTTGTTTGTCCGTGTCTATATATGTCGCGGTGTTTTGTCGCGTGTAAACGTGCACTTACATTATATTAGCAGCGTAGGTTATTTGGGCCAATGTAAAATGGACCCTTCGCTATTCGCAGATCGGATACGCGATTTAAGTCTTCTAACGCGTCATCTTATGGTATTTTAATGGGAACTCCTGTATATGAGTCATTCATTTAGGGGAGAAAAACAAAATATGTATGAAAGTGTGCGTGTAAAATATATTCTTTTTATGTTTTAATAAAAAAATATTAATTCACATTTTTAAACAAGTATGACTTCTATTTTATTTATGAATTAAAAGTTTGATATTAATTGTTATTTATATTACAGGTGTTGGGTCTTTACGGAGGAGGGACGTGGGGGTCCGTCAAGACGTTGCTTGGAGCCGGGGTGGGGGGGCTCGGGCCTTTCCCTTGCAGAGAAAACGAACCATTCTGGAAAATGCCTCACAAAGGTAAGATATTAATAATGTTACACAATTTTTTAATTATTAAAAATAAAACAGTTGAAGATAATATTATAGTTAAAGTAAAAAATATGTACAAAATATAGATATAATTTAATATATTATTACATCTAGTTGGATTTCTATAGTCGGCTGACATTTTCAATATTCTTATAACTTATGGAAATTTAACTTAACTAAACTTTCGATCGTTGTTAAGTTTCGATAATATTATGCATTTAAAAGGAACGAGATTTACAACTTTTAAATTATAATTTTACTGCTTATATTTTGCAGCTGGTGTCTTCTAAAATAATATAAATTTAAATTAAGGATTCTCGAAACTCTAATAATTTACTGATTCGAATAACAATAACTGCTGTTTAATGTTAAAAATCAAATATTTAATTGCAAATACTATACATCTAGATATTTGATTTGTTTTAAAAATATAACATTTAACACATAATCGTTCTCTAATCTTAATTTTTTTACTGTCCACCTGTATCACACACTTTGTTTTTAATTACTAGATTTATGTAGGTATTTTAATTAGTGTTTGTCATCCATAGGAAATATTTTATTATAATAAAACCATAATATATTGTAAGCACAATTATTTCTCATTTTTATTCAAAATACTTTACATATATAAATCACATATCACATAATATGATAATACCATTGCCAACTATTCCGGTTGATTATGTCTCGCCGACACGTCAACGCACTGATGGAGGCACATAAAATAAAATAACATAAAATCGTCCAACAGATCTTTGCGGCATGATTAATGGACATCAAGCATTTCAAAACGATTTTCGATCGCTGTATTTTTACAAAATCTTTAAATCGACGTTGTTTATTTTTTTTTTTTTATCCATCAACTATCGTCGTCTTTTTTTTTTTTTTTGCTGTATAATACCTGCAACAGATAGATTCTACACGGAGTGACGCTTTTAATGATGAGATTTGATAAAGAAGGGGAAAAAGGAGGAATACAAACCAGTTTTAATCAGTTGACATGTGACACTGAGTACACGAAAGGGACCGGGCCGTGTGTGGTTGTATAATATTATGAGATATTTGTTGGGACTCATTTAGGTATCGTGTTTCAGCGTTATTTTTTTTCTTTTACCGCTCCCGCCTTACATTTATGTAGGTATGAGTATTATAAATATACATATACAAACATACCTACATAGGTACATGTTATACTTATTACTGTAGGTAAAAAAAAAAGTATTGAATTATAAAATGAAAATATCTTAATAACCTTCCGCGTGCTTATACATACGTACAAAAAACATGTAAAAGCAGTGCGTCTTCGTCTACGCGCGTCTATATCTCTGTCTAAGTGTATACAAACACGCCGCCCTGCAGTCCGGTTTCTCCGACATAAACCGTCACCACTGCCACCACTCGTTCTTCAACCAGTGCTGCGACATTGAAACGGATCCCTTGTCGTGACTAAAATATTATACTATATATAGAACATCGTTTGTCATTCGACTCCAGAACGGTGGACGCATAATTCTCGTCGAAATTGAAAAATTGCCCCATGTCGTGCATTCGGTCGTTTTGATTAAGCTACACAGATGATAATAGATAACTCCAAATTTAAAAATAAAATCTGTTTTTAGTTTGATAAAAAATTTAATATAAAACCAAAATAAGTTTTTGTTTTTATATTAACTGTCAATTTTTAAATGTTAACTTTTGACAGCATAATATATACTATATATAGTACGTATATTATAGTATAATATCAAAATATAAATATTCTATTCACATATTTGCCGTATTGACATTTGATAAATTATATATGTATACATTTTTTAAAGACTGGTAAGAATATAAAATTAGGTTCTAAAGACTTATTTTCTGTGTTTCCTGCAGGCTATTTCCTATTGTAATGATGATTCTATACAATATTTTTCTTGTTATTGTGATAGGTAGTCAATACTTTTGTTGAACCTTATAGATTATATTATATTTACCTGTCAACTGTGGTACAATATTATATATACACTTAAAGATATGCACCTACGTGAAAACGTCAAACGTATCTTCAAAAATGTAAAACTACAAAATTGAACTAAAAACATATATAAATCACCACCACTCACAACAAAAGAACAATATGATATATAGACCACACACGCACAGTATGGGTTCGCACTTCGATTGACTTAAATATAGTGTCGCTGAAAACAACCCAAAGGACGGAAGTAACTATTATATCCACCATGTAGCTCAGCTTCAATAACGCGTGCATTTTGTACACATACATATTATATATATATATATAGGTCAAGGCATTTTTGGAAATTTAATCGATCACGGGTAATCTGTTCCCCCTATAAACATCTATCGCTTGTAGGATTCCCCACAGACAGGTGTGTATGGCGCGCGCGTAGGCGTATAATAATATAAGAGGCTTTCGGAGGGGCTTGCAGCGCAGATTTTTCCATCTCCGATTATCACACCTGCAGAACAATGATGGCATAACCACCGCACCGCGTTTTCAGTCTTTATAAATATATAACCACGCACAGCATTGATCCTATGCCGGAACCATACATGTCGATTTGTTCTCGATTTTTTTTTTTTTTTTGTTTATCCCGTGAAGGGTTAACCTTAACACAATAGATGTATTTTTCGGCTTCAGCACGACCCAACCACGCGCGCACACATTTTCTGAACCATTTGTAATCGTTGCAATGTATTGCTCAATACACTTTCCTCTCGTCGTGTATATGATTATTTACAAGTTACGACTTAATGACGAAGCATAAGAGTTAAACCCAACCCATTTTCTTACCCTGTCGTACCTATACTGCTGACTGGCAAAAAACTTTCTAAAAACAATTTAATGTTGGCTGAAAAAGATTATATGCACAAGTACCACTGATGTTTTCATGTTACATTTTCCTAAACTTTAAAAAGTCTGGCTGATCGTATACTCATCTATAATCTCAACTTGTCAATGCTTCCAACAATTCCTTTTATAACCAAGCTATCTGCGGTATCGTACTGCAAATTGTCAGATTACAGTATTATTATAATCTCAGCTGCTAAGTCTGCAACTATAAATTTTACTTTCTATATCTACATATATGGTTGCTAAAAATTACTTTATAATATATACTTACATTGAAAGATTGTCTAAAGCAGAGTTTCTTAAATTGGGTTTCATAGAACTCGTAGTAATCACTTTAAGGTTCCTTGAAGTTAAAGTAATTTTTTCAAAACTTTTACAAAATTATTTTGAAATATCTAACTTAAGATAAGTATCGGTCAGTGGGTAGAAAAAAAAATGTTTGTGTATTAAATAATAATGCATAATATGGTATAGTATAATTTTTATATAAAATAATTATAATTGTTATTATAAATATTTCTGAAAAATCTAAAAATCTAAAAAAAAATAGTGATTCTACGATAAAAGTGTACATTAAAAAGAGTTCCATGGATTAAAAAGTTTAAGAAACACTGGTCAAAAGTATAAAAATATTAACGTATAGGTACTAGTGTACATTAGTAAAGTGCATCAGTTCAGAATAAATATAATTATATTTTTCACGAATCGCCACTACCTTCAGTCAAAAATCTGTTGTAAAATATTTAAATTTTTATATTCGATTCATAAACTATACATACACCTTCAATTTATATCTACCTATATCTTTAATATATAGTTATAGATTTATGTGATTTTATTTCATAAATTATAATATTTTATAATTTCATCTATTCTAATAACATTTTGCCAAATAATAATAAATAGTTTTTATCTCAATATAAAAATGATTGTAATATTAATATTAGAAAATAGTTCTGATAAATGAAAAATAAAAAATGTATATACAAATGCTATTTCTTATACCATAGAAAATAAAAAAATTACAAAGACCAAGCAATTTAATTAAAATAGCATTGACAAGACAGTACATTTAAATGAAATGAAAAAAAATTGTTGCAGTAATTTTACTAAAACGAATTCTTGGTATAATAAAAAACATTTTTGAGAAAGACGTAAAAAAATGAGAAACCTTAATAAAGTTAATCCTTGTGAAAGCAAATGTTTCCATCGCTTGCCTGTTTCCATTTGCCTATTCATATTACTGAGAAAAAAATGTAGAGAAATTAATAACAACCTATAACACATTTTAAAAAGGTATGATCCTATTATTTATTACAAATATAATTAATATGCATAAAATAAATATATTATGATATGTACCTATATGCAATTTTTTTTATAATTAATTATTTACCAACTTCTTTTAATCAAAGTTTTTTATATTACTGTTGCTGCCGCTAACATTAGTTATTATTAATAACTTATTAGCGATTTAATTTTATATTTATGTTTTTATGTAAACTCCGTCATGACCGCTACCGGCATGGTGACAAGATAAAAACGCGCGTCCTCGGCGGAGGTGTTGGGTCGTTAAATTTACGGTAAAGCGCGCGTGCGCACAGTATAATGCGCAGATATATATAGATATAATATACAAATATATACATTTTATTTCGCGCACGTTGCCTTGGCGACGAACCGAGCGGAGTAACGCGTGGTGACGTATCCAGCGCGACTCGGTACGCTTCCGGTCGCCGCCGCCGGTGTATTATGCGTTCTCAGCTGGATCAGAGGCTACGACGAGGGGTGCCGGACGTGCCGCCGGAAAAACGTTTTCCCGCCGCGGGCTGGCATAGAGCCGAAACGGCCGAACGGTATACACGCACGCACTCAAGTTTTCCGCCTCCCCTTGAAACAGTTCACGTAATGTGTATTATACAATGTATGCGCTTTTTCCACACACATATGTAACGATCGTGACTCTCCCTTATATCATATTATGTGGTTTTGAGATTTTATTTATGTAATATAATGATATATTGTATTAAATGTTTCAACAAAATTTTCCTGTATAAATGAAAATAAAGTTAAAAACAACAGAAACTGTTTTCACGGTGAAAAAAGTATGAAGTCAGTTAAACATATTCTAACTGTAAAGTCATCTATAATACTATTATGAACAACAGCTTCTTAAAATAAATAATATAAAAATTCCTGTGGATATAGTGATTTTAATATTATCATGTTTTAAGAATCACATGTAAAAATATATACAGAGTAGTTTGATATTGCCTAACCTATTGAACTCAACAAATTTAATACTTTTGAAATAAAACCCGGTTTTTATGCATTTTATTGCAAAATATGCAGTAGTAATACTTTACGAACTGGCACAAAATATCTCAAAAATATAATGTGGTTATATTATACATATATTATACGTATAGTATAGATATACATGAATATTGGTGATGATGATGGCTTTCAATGATCCCAGGATGGCTTAGATACCTATATACATGGCTACATATACATATACCTAATATGTGGATTCGTACCTACGTATGTATTATATGATACGACACTCGTAAAACGATATTGAAACGTCTTTTGTGCGTGTATTATCATTGGAAAATATAAATATATGTAAACTATACAAGTATAATATATATATATATATATATATTATGTACATTAAATTCCACTCACGGGTTTTCAAAATACAAAAACCGCTTAAGACGACAGTTTTGGAATTGATACTTATATTATACATATACCTATACCTATATGCATACACTATATTATATTGGGATTTGGGGCGCGCGTGGACAATAGTGGCGAAAACGAATATATGCCACCCTGGTGGCGGGTATAAAAAATATTATTCCGACCCTACTTTGTACGTCGTTTTTGAATACATAATATAAAACCACTATTGTATACTGAACTATAAAGTGGCCCGCGAAAAAATGTTTATTCTTTTTTTTCCATTCAATTGTATAAGAATACCTAACATTTCAATGTGGTCAAGTAACGTGCAAAAAAGATTCTATCGAAAAATTTTCCACTGAATCGAATGAAAAAAAATTAATTAATTAATATTATACAATAATTATATAAATTTAACTTACTGCGGGAACGACGTAAATGCGAATCTTTGTACTAATTTAGATTTTAATATCATGATATTATGCAATTTTAAAATCATGCAGGAAAGTCGAATTTCTAAGATGATAATATATGCTATAAATTTATGCATGCGTAAAATCTACGGAAAATATTCAATAGTTAATATCCTGCAAAAACAAACAACGGAAACCTTAACTTAAATAATATAATATTAATCGCGTATAAATACCTACGTATAATATTATTATAATTCCAGTATAATACGAATTAAAATATTATATAATAATAAGTTAAATACGATATTTTGTTTTCACCCTCTTTGTTCTGTACAAAATGTATAATTTATTATATTATCGATTAACCTAACGCAACGCACTATATAGGCGAATACAATATAATATACGTATGCATACGTAGAACTGCGTACAACCACTCGACTCATAAATATTATTATTTATCGATTTATTATAAGTCCGTCGCGACTATATATGCCGTAATAGGATTTCTACGTAATAGGAACTTTCACCCGCTGCGGTTCGAGTGGCTCTCAAAGCGATGACGCGACATACGCTACCGTTCTTGTTAACTCGTCGTCGACAGCCAATAATTCGCAACACTCGAGAAAACAAGAGAGAGACGTCGCAATACAGTGTGTGTGTGTGTGTGTGTGTGTAGTGTTTAAATTAAATTCAAAAGCAATAAAAACCGTTTTCGAAATGAGTTTGGGCGTGTAAACAGCCTACACATACGGATATATGTTTGTAAGAAAAACACCAAACACATCGAATGTTTATTATTGTATATTATTACTTTGTTGCGCGGAAAAGGGTGCATTTGGTCCGCTGTGTGTTGCCAACAACGATCGCGCGTAACAAGTGACAAAAGCGCACACGCGTAAATACGATTTATGTATAGGTACACCGATGCTGGCGGGCACCCATCGTGGAAAAAACCTCTTCAACTGAGCTATATCGCCACTCTTCCCCGCGGTGTACACAATCCTTTAAGACGATTTTCGGACCCTCACAATGTTTTCATGTATACACATTTTTGCACCCTCTGCGACCGTTACAACAATATTATATTATACTTATTATAGACTAACTGATACAATATTATACATTATGTAATACGTGTTTATATGTTTTCATCGTCGTCTCTATGAGAAAATATAATATTCTCTGCCGCTATATTAGTGTTTCGGTCCGAAACGCTATTGGTGGTCCCATAAGATTCTAGTGACCAGCGATTTACTATCTACCGATGAAACTTATTTCTATTTTTTATATTCAATGTATATATTTTTACAGATTAGAATAATTTTATTATTTATACGAATAAGTGCAATGCGTTCGCAGTGGGAATTTTTGACGTGTGAGTACATCTAGATATAATGTACCTACTGTGTAGTACTTTGATTTTGATGGATCGAACGTATAACGATATAATATAATATAGATACCTACTATTTAAATATAGTAGGAGGTATACGTAGGTACACATCAAATGATTAAGAAACGTGCGTTGTTTACTTGTTTAAGATCGACTCGCCGCTCGAAGATCCGTCTCGAGACGGAAACCTGTTTTGTTTGGTCAGCGCCCAAACGTCGGCGGCAACTAAATGTAATTATAATAATATATGTATTCTGTTGGGAATATATTTTACACGTTTCAGCGAGTAATAATAATTTAAAAAACGGGTATTTAATAATCGTATTATTGTGATTATTATTACTACGGTCCAAAGTGCATATTATATATTTATCCGTCTGATTTATATAGACGTCCCTATATTACAAGCGTGGATTCGATTAACAACAATCTACCTCGTCCGCTATACCTGTATTCACCTTAAAACGAACGCTTTCATGAGCGACGCACTGCTTTGATCACGGCCGTTGATATTATTCGTAGTAAACAAAATATAATTTTCAATGTTATAGAGAAAAAATAATGTACAGCGAAACGATCAGAATGAAGCAACTTTTAAACTATTTAAAATTGTTCGCAAGTAGATTAATTATTATAGAACATAAAATATATTTCAGGCAAAATACAACCCTAGCTGTAGAATTAGAATTTTACAATTTCAGATGAATTTAAACGGGAACAATGAAACTTAAATCTCTCCTCTCACTATAAACGCAAACACATACTCATACTTATATATAATACTAATTAATATCCCCGCGGTGAGTTTACGATAGTGTGTGGGAATGCTTGCAGTCGGTGCTGTCACTGGGTGCGGAGAGTGTGTATGTATTTTTTCCGCCGTTCCTCTTTACTTGAGTGACAGATCCAATTTGCTTCCCCACTTCTCTCCGAACAATAAAAACCGCTACCGTATCAGAAAATACCCACGACCCGCATATTATATATTTATATACACATAATATTATATTATATATTATTATTATACATATAATATAATACACGCGTAATATTTTCGTCGCCACGGTCGGATAAGCACGCACCGGAGGGGATGACGTTATGTTATGTTTTGCGTGTGTGGTCTTCTCTCTCGCTCACTCACCCTTAGAGCCATTTTCGTTGATAATTCTGTTTAAAATATTCTGCATATTATAGAATACCACGATTATATATTTACTGTCGATGTTTTATTATATAGTTACAATAAGTATACAGAGCGATCAGAAATTCGTGTCTAAATTTTTCTTCAACCCCAATTATTGCATGTTCATCGATCTACGGCCTACGCCCATAAATCATAAACACGCTGCACCTATTTATATCCTATGAAAATGTCCTTTTTAAATATTATAAATCATTCTAACGCAGTGAATATAATAATTATCATTGTTTTTTTTTTTTCAGATGATTCAGACCACTGCAACATGACGGCGGCGGCCGCGGCGATGGTCCAGAGCTCGGCGGCTCTGTTCGGTTGTTCGGCGGCCGGTCATAGTGGTATCAACCAGCTGGGTGGAGTGTATGTTAATGGTCGTCCGTTACCGGATTCTACGCGACAGAAAATCGTCGAGCTTGCGCACTCAGGCGCCAGACCGTGTGACATATCCCGCATTCTGCAGGTTTCAAACGGATGCGTGTCCAAAATACTCGGCAGGTGAGTGCTAAATATCAATTAATTTATATAATAATAAGCACATGGCGATGAGTGTATTAAAGTTTTAATTATAAAAATTCAACTCCCGATATTAAAAGGTATATGTTGGGTGTTCTATACTGTTCTATATTATTAGGGCGCTAAAAAGTAAAAAATAAAGTCATATTAATTAATCGGAAAGAAAGACGTGAATTTTGTACACCTAAAATTTACGTAGTCAATGATTTTCTCCTTAAGCTTGGAGAAACGAATTTACCAATTAATTTTATTTATCACTTAGGTACTATATATCTTTTAAATGGTTTTATACATATTTTCTAATCTTTTAATTTGTCTACTGTATAATTTGTTTGTAATTTTTCTAACTTTTATTTAATCATTAATACATCAACACTATAGTATTTTTAAATCTGTTATATATTGTTTATATATAAATAAATATTATATATACAAAGTATTATCATTAAAACTAAATATTTTAAATAATAAGTTTGATAAAACAACACACATCGTACGTGTCGACTAGTCTTTGAAACGTACATCATAGAAAAATTGTACCTATTATTATACTCATTAGTTGAAATTATATTATGTACCTACCTATACGAGTAGAGTGCCGGCCCAAGATACGGGCGAACCGAGCGATTGCCCGGGGTGCCTCTAGAATAGCGGCGCCAGAGACGCATTTGAAGGTGTTCAAAAAATTGTAAAAACTTATACATATTTTTTTAGTTAACGAAACAATGAACTAATATAAATATATTAATATAATAATATACATTAAAATAATATTACCACTCACCGTGACTAAAACTTTGGAGGTTTGGGGAACAATGACTTATAATCATCATCACTATACCGCCGTACCAATATTTATCTGACGCCGATGGTTAGGTATAAATGTACACATTCGTAGTATTATATATCATGAAATGGATTTTCATTATGAAATTATTTGTATAATTGGAAACTTACCAAAACAATTTTCTAGATCGAGTTCAAAAAGCTAAATATCATAGTATTATGTTGAATTGCACTCATCAGGACATTATAGTCACGTTGAACAACTTTCTTCGACTTTAAAGTTTTTTGATATAGATAAGAAATGTGCATTAAAGAACATTTTATTATGTTTGAACTAATAAATGACTCGTCTGGTGAAGGAATTTATGAGACTATATTATATTAATGTATAATTGTAAACTAGAATTAAGTAACAGTAGATGTCAGGGATATAACAACGGAATTAATATGAAGAGTAAAAATAAAGGCGTACAAACAAGAATGTTTTGAGCCAATTCTCGAGTTATTTTTTATGTCATGTAGTTGTCATTTACTGAACTTAGTAATTGAAGATAGTGTTTCTTAATCTATTGAGTCAAAAAATTTCTTAGGAGCGATTCAACGAATATACGTGTTGTTCTCTGCATCTGTATAGGTTGTTGTTATATCTTAAATAATACATTAAATCTTTAACTGTTAAGCCATTATGTGAGGACTCAATGAGAATGTCGAATAGATTATATTAATGTGGTTAAAAATAAAATCTCATAAATAATAGATACACTGAAAGAATTAACTGCATTAATAATAGTGTGTAATAATAATATAATCATCTACAATAATAAATTGTCTAAAACAATAAAAATGTTATTTAAACTATATTTTTAAGGGTGCCATTTAAAAATTTGCCCGAAGCGCCATAATAACTCGGGCCGGCACTGTGTACCTATAGTAAGTTATAATAATAAAGTGAATTGGTTTATTATCAAACTATAAGGATTAAAACTAAATTTTTACTTTCCCTCAAGTCATAAGGATTTTTATATTGTAATATTTTATATAGGTTTATTCATAAATGGCTTTAAAACTAAATACTATAGAAAACCCACGAGAAGACGTATAGATAATATTTTTACCTTTTAGTAAAAGATTAAATCACTTCATTTATTAAAGCCTATACTAAAAATAATTTATTAGAACTACTCAACACAAATTTAGTATGCCGTATGCTTGCAAGACAGAAACAATTTGTTTTGAATGCTGTAGCTTTCTCTTAATTAGGTATATACCTAAATAGTTTGTTTTATGTTATATACTCATATGTAATACACATTAATATGTATACCTATTATATATACAAAAAATTAATTATATCTGAATTGGTTCATACTACCTGAGAATTTTTATAAATTAGTATAATTACATAATTGTATATACCTATAGCTTAAATACAGTATCTAAATTTTTAAGACATTGGGAAATGTATATGATGATGGGTGAATGTTAAATGTTGATCTTTGGCATTCTGTTGTAAGTGTTTAATATTTATGATTACTTCGACACCTCCGCCTCGTCAATGATGAGATAATTACCTAAATATATAATACATCATATTGTCATCTACAATACAGAACGTGTATTTACCATTTAGTGCTATAAAGCTGTACTTCATAAAATATCTGGTTTGTCGCCGCAGGTATTACGAAACCGGTTCAATTAAGCCGCGTGCTATTGGCGGCTCGAAGCCGCGAGTTGCCACCAATGGCGTAGTGAACAAGATCGCCGACTACAAGCGAGAGTGTCCGTCCATCTTCGCTTGGGAGATCAGGGACCGGTTGCTGTCCGAAGGGGTGTGTAGCAACGACAACATACCGAGCGTGAGTAATAATAATAATAATATTGGCTGTTATTTTACGATATGAATATAACATTTTAGTACCATTGCAATAGTTTTTACAACAAAATTATTACGGAAAAATCAAAAAATCTGATACCGTTTCAGTATTGTATTTTATGGACTTAACATAAATAATAAATTATATTTTTTCCGTAGTTCTCGATAATCGATATAAGATGTACCTACTTAGATATATGTATTAAGTATAAATTAATTTATCTGATTATTAATATGTAAGGAAATTGGGTAAATTATATTATATACGATGAAGATTTTTGATACATATTTATTTCAGTTGATTTCAATATTCCGATTCAACTTTTATTGCTAATCAATTGATATTAATTATAGAAATAATATTTGTTTAAATCTGAAAATCGTTTATTTTACTGATTTAAATTGAAACAAAAATAACTGAAATAGTTTGCCCGCGATCATGAAGATAATTAAGAATTTAATTCAATTTTAAAAATCTATACTAGTGCGCCGAGCTGAATTAATGGTTATTTATTTACCTCAAATCTATATATCATTGCTGCACGGTATCCTGTTGTATTCGGAAACGCATTGTGATTTTTAAATGTTTAAAAAATCTCAAATGAAATCAATGCTTATGAAAATTTACGCGAATCATAAAATGTAAAAATATAATTCAATGTATCGTGAAATTAATGTTTTAAATATTAAAAAAAAAAGACTGATTCATTTCATACATATCTACATATATTATATTTTATTTGTTATATATACACGGCGCTTGGATATAATATTGTAATAACGCAGATACCTTCGACGTTACAATTCCGAAACGGGTATTATTATTTTCATCAGAGGGTCGACTATAATATATATAGGCAAATCGATTCAGTCAATAAAACGCCCTCTCTCCTGTTCTGTATAGAAAAAGATACTTCTCTTGGACAGAAAAAAAGACGAATATAATAATAATAATAATAAAACGTAAAATATGTTTTCTCCTTTTCATCCCTATCCAAAACACGCACGCACATGTACACTTTTGTTACCAGTTTTCACGGACCGTCGCACTCAATCCCAAACACAATGTATATAAATATATATAAATCTTTTGCCTCTGTGCTGCGCAATGTATACGTGGGGCAGATATTGCGGAATTACTTTTTAATACGAAAGTAGAAAAAACGATAGAAAAGGAATCTTTTGCTCTGTTGTTTGCCGGCTCAGATCTATAGTACCGTCTATACACGTAAACGTATGTGCCTCGATCATCCGGTCTCTTGTAAGCGCTGCACTCGCCGATGAATGTACATTACATTTTTGTCGAGTGCCACTTGTACGGGTCCTCGGCGCAGCTATCATTATATTATTATTCCATCGTGTTGTTATGTGTGTATACGCATAATGTATATGTGTATTACTTGTAAGTATTATAGGTATTGTACATAAGTTTTTTCTTTCCTTCCGACCATTATTGTACAGCGTTGTGCGATCGCAACAACCGTCTTGATGATGAGCATCATAATATATAATGCACAGTTACATATAATAGGTACATAATATTATATTTAATATTGTGCGTTTTCAAGTAGTCTTGTAAAACAGCTGTACAGAAAAATTCGCTAACCTCGTGGGTTCTTTAGATAAATTACCTATTTACCTGTTTACCTATAGGTAATATTATTTTATTTTTGCATTGTATTGCATTGCATTATATATCTGAATAATATGACAATGTTATATTGTCATAAATATTAATGTGACAAAATGTCGACTTATTACGGGCTCTTTGCAGTGCACATTGCAAAAAAAAAAATTGTACATAGTTTTAATATGTTATACATATATAGAAATAACATAATATATTTAATTAATAATATGATAGCTAATAAAATAAACCATTAAGCATATATTTTTAGCTGCGCATATCTACGTAGTATTTTTTTTTTCATCTTAACAACTATATCTAAATTTGAATAAGGTACGTCTTAATTAATTATATTTGGAATTAATGAGTATAGACGATTCGACATGATAAAATACTCGATAAATCTGTAGTTTTAGTGAAAGAAATTAACTCTTGTCAATTTTGAAAAACGATAATGAATATAAACATATTATTTAATTAATTCTCTCTCCATGTTTACGTACTACTCACCTTTTGTAAAACAATATAATATGTTTTGTTGTAGACCAAAAAGCGAATAAAAATATACCAATAAAAATGATAAACAATATTTTTCTTTTATACAAAAAACAAAACTAAAAGTGTTCTCGATCTATGGGACACCCCGTCGTCAACCCTTATATACACGCACGTATATACGTGTTGTGAGAATAATATAATATATGTACGTGTGTAGTTTGCTTTATATGCATATTGTTCACATTTCATGTGGTTAAGTATATTTTTTCATATATTTGTTAAGAATATAATGTGCACCTACGTACTCAATTCATCTCTGCAACATAATGCCACCACGTTGGTAAAACTTGAATAAATTGCGGTATTTTAGCAATAATTGGACGTTTGGGGGCTCTTTCTATGATATAGATATGAAGGAGGTTGAATAGGGGGGAACGAAGAGGGGCACGAAGCGGGTGCCAATTATTACAAGTGAAAAAAAAATAGAATTAATCATGAACAATAAAAAGAAAAAGCTCGAGCCGAAGAAAAGAGAGCGTGTTCGAGTGGTCGTTGCGCTCGTGCAGCAGTTTGTCCTCCTGGGATGTGGGCCATTAAACCTACCCCGACATTATGTGTGTATGCGTACATGAAGTGCACGTGGTTTTCTCCCTATATATTTTTTTTCACGACTCTTCACCAAACGGGTCAATTACCGACGATTTGTTGTTTTTAAAAGTACTGCGGCCGTCATTCATGACGAAACCACATTGGACCATAAATCATTATTATTATTAATGTGTGTTTTATAATCGCTTGCTTTCGCGGTGTATACACAACAATTTACACGTTCAAATTGTTCAATTTTTAGTCATCGAAATAATAATATGCCCAAGCGTAAATAACTACGTCAGAAAAATTATCGTACTTCTTAAAATTTAACATTTTATTACAATATAATGTGTAATCGAATACGAAATTCTAGTTTTTTATATTTCTAGTCAATATATCTATTATACAAAACCACTATTTATATTATTTTATGATAATAAATTCAAATATATGAATTAACAATTGAAGTGGATACTTAATTCAAATTTTATTATTTGTAGAAATGCTTACAAATTTATGATAAGTATACATAACTAATAATATTGTATTTATTTATATTTCGTATAAAAATATAATTTAGGATAATTATCCGTAGTACCTACATACAATTTAATATCTCAGACACCATACACTTAAATAAAATTTTAATTGAGGAACATCAACATTTTCAAAAAAAATAATCTTATTTAAAAATTTGCAGTAAAAAATAGTCTAACTAAAATTATTACATACTATAGATACAACTCACATATAATACACTAGATACATAGCTAAACCTACAATACGTATATCCAAATATGTTTGTAATGTATTAATGTGTATTATAATAAGATTTACATGGTCTCGGCGCCACAGTCATATTGTGTAGGAAAAAGATTCGACGGTGAGAAGACAACGCACTGTGGTAGTAGTTGGAATAAAAGGTGCATATATATAATATATACACTATCGGTGGTAGGGAGACCACCAGGGCGTGGAAAATTATTGCGGATTGGTCGGAAAACGCGTTGTGGGAAAACATGGCCGAGCTGGGAAAGCCTAAAACATTGATCCATATCGACAGGGTGACGGTAGTGGCGCCGTCGGCGTTGAGGCCATATTTTCCCCTCGATTTCCGGTACAAAAACACTTCCTCCATCTATACGGTAAATAACAGCACGTGAAACTCGCGGATAAGCTATATACACGATATATCATGACATAATATTATGCATGTGTGTGTGTGTGTGCACATCACGTGGATATTATTTGCCCGTTTCGCTTATTGCACAGTATTTTGAAAGGATGTATTATATTTTGTTGAAAAAGAATAGCATTTAGTTACATTTCCTTTTTTCCACTGAATTATGATTCAAACTAATATATTATTATGATATTCATATACGTATACCTATAGTTTTTCGAAAAAATTATAACATCAGTTAGATATATGAAATACTAACATATTATATTATATTGCTATACAAATTACCATTAATCCTAAATCAGTCTTAGCAATTAATTTACAATACAATATAATAATATCATATTCACTATTTGTTAATTGTTCGTTTGTGTTGGTGTATAGTACGCATATTAATATAATGTATCAGCATTCGTCAACTATTTTAAAACAGTTCTAATAATTTTTTATATCATATACATATGACTATAATAGGTCGGTATTGTACCTATCAAATGCACTAATATGTGTTTTTAAAGAATGTTACACTATACATGATATGAGAATATTCGTAATATTATTTACGCGTGTGTTCAGTCACTGGGTTGACGGATTGCAACACGTTTAGTTATATATACCCAAGGAAATTCGTCGTAAATAGGGGTCAAGCGTCCGAAGCCCTAAGTCGGGTCATCTGTCATCGCTGGCTTACATAAACGTCAACGGTAATGTTTCCCTAAAAAAATAATAAAAAATAAAACAAAATTATACATAATATATTATATTATTGAACGAACACCCTATACATTATATATACTGCTACGGGGGAGTGTTGCGATTGAAAGTCTTCTGTTTAGGGTTGTTGTCCGGTGTCGGGTGTGCACGGATGGAAGCCCGTTGCGTGGTGTACGCACCACGTTTTGCGCTCTGTAATTTTGCGGACTACATAATAATAATAATAATAATAATAGTAGTAATAATAATAACAAAGAAAAGGAATTCCTCTTTTAAACTTTATACGGCCATTGTCATTTAAATAAGATATGGCTATATATTTTATAGTTATAGAAATGTCTTTCGCCACCCATTCCACCGCAATAGGTTA